CCAAACATGAATATTTTTGTAGCATGTAGATTTGATCAGTAGCTCTGTTTATGTAAATCTCCTGTTGCATATTTAAACAGCAGGTATGAGTCAGTTTACACATTCATCTGATCACTAGAGGGAGTGAAGAATCGCTTCAGTTCATTCAAACTGTGCTGTGAAACAAACCATGATCTCTTCATCTTTAGTGCTGCTTCTGGCAGTGATATCCTGTAAGTTTAGTCTACTTTCTGTGATACATCATTTTGTTGCTAAAAAGCTTGTAAACAGTTTTTAAGCATCATGCTCTCTTATTAACAGGTATTATTTGATTTGATACAGGTATTGATTCATATGAACTCACTCAGCCTGAGTCTCTGACTGTCCGTCCTGATGCCACTCTCACTATCAACTGTAAAGTCTCCTATTCAGTTACAAGCTATGTTACAGCCTGGATTCGTCAGCCTGCAGGAAAAGCTCTGGAGTGGATTGGAGTCATCTGGAGTAATGGAGGCTTATACTACAAGGATTCCCTGAAAAGCAAGTTCAGTATCACCAGAGACACTTCCAGTAACACAATAACACTGCAAGGAAAGAATGTGCAAGCTGAAGACACAGCTGTGTATTATTGTGCCAAAGAAACACAGTGACAGACGCCAACAGCCTCCCTGTACAAAAACACCATCATCATATCACAAATTAAAAGTGTTTTTGATGATTTTCCTCATTCTGACTTATACAGATGCACAGAAATAGTTTGAAGCTCATCAAAAATTCTAGACATTAACTCAGCTGGTCAAAAAACTAAAACAAACTTCAAGGCAAGCCTAATCGAGTGCAGCGTTAGTTCAGTCAGGCCACGTAGGCATAGGCTGCGACCAGCTGACGTGGTCAGCTGTCAAATCGCTCCAATCACTACCATTCTCCTATTAGACACGGGACATATATACGTGGCATTACTGCTCGGTAAGTATGCTCAAACTGCTTGCAACCCTCCCTCCCTCCCCATTATAAGCATAAGCATATTACTGTGCACCTTCTGGTTGTCGTCTTCTTTTGTTTCAGATCACTAAGGCTTCCAAGTCCCGGCTGGCATGGACCTCACTACTTAGAGACACTCATCCTCATAACCAAGCTACAGTATAGACGTCCCACTGCCACATCTACACGATTACCACTGTTCGCTTTTAAAGACATTACTAAGTGTCTTAATTGTTATGTATTTCCAAGCTGATGGTTCCGGGGGGTTAATGTTAAAGCTCTTGTATGTTCAATTTATTCTGGAGCAAAGAACCCCCATAAGGAACCATACCGCCAAAGATAAATTGTGTTTCAATAAACTCAAGTAACTTGCCAAAGTGGTCCTGCCTGAAATGAATTTAAGTAAATGCATAATAATAAACAAATATAATTTCCACCAAAACAAAACAAACTAATAAAAATAAAGAAACTAATAAAAATTCAACATTCACATTTTGCTGTTCATAAAATATTGCATAAGCATCATGATAGTAATTGGATGCAATGAATTATGCAAATATTCCTCCTCCTACTCCTTGTTATTTGAGTATTAAGATGAAAAGAAGCAGCTTGTTCTCACTCGTCTCAAATCATGATCTCTTCATCTCTCTGGTTGTTGCTGCTGCTGGCAGCTGCTTCTCGTAAGTCTTTATAACTTCAATAGAGATACTTCATATTAAAAACATTCATGGTTATATATAATGTTGTCATATCGCTAACATTTCTGGTCATATTTTCTCCCTCAGGTGTCCACTGTGTTGAACTGACTCAGACTGATTCTATGGTCTTAAGTCCTGGTCAGGTTTTGACTCTGTCCTGTAAAATCTCTGGATATTCAGTGACTGACAGCAGCTACTGTACTCACTTCATTC